TAGTGAACAATCACCAAAGGTTCTTGCGTTCACATCTCCCTGCGCAAGGCTTGCTTTTACTTGATTGTTCCCTCCTTATTATTACAATTTTTCACCTTTTTTTCTGAATTATAGTTATAATTTTATGTTTTCGTTTCGTTGTGTTGAACTTCCTCGTGGCTTAGTGGTTTAAGTTTATCAAAATTTTCTGATATGCCGATTCGATCTTTTGTTAGGCTTTATGCGTTACATTTTTATCTCCCCGCTGGGATCGAACCCTTGACTTTGTCCCATTAGGATAGTCTTGAACGATTGATACACTCCTAGCAATTTTTCGTGCTGCTATCATGATTTCAAATAAGTTTTTTCCGATTTCTAAAAAATGGGTCCAGCCGGGAATTGAACCCGGGACCTCTCCCACCCTAAGGGAGAATCATGCCACTAGACCACTGGACCGCTGTCTACTATGTAACGGAAATTCCGATAAAAAATTCATTGGTGTCACTACTCCCCGCCTTAATTTATATTCTTGACTTGCTTCCATTCGGGAGGCCCGGATTCACTATCCCATTCCGTGGTTCATTTTCAATTTATATTTATACTAAACTTTTCTCAAGACAATGGTGACTTATTTGTCACATGTGAAAGAGAAATGAAAGTTAAATTATCTACTAGAGGAGAGTCGGAAGCGTGGGCAGTTTGTAGAGAATGCCACCACTCCCACCAGTGAAGGCCACAACATGATGTATATATTTATAAACTTTAGTGCAACAATTTTACGAGACGATCGGCAAACTTTTTGGAAATTGATTCTTGAGTATCATGGCTCATTTTTTGTATTATGATGATTGCACTGTGGGATGCTTCCTGGATCTCCTCCTCTATTGATACCCCTTCAACAGGTCCACCACTTGCATTGTCATCGTCCCACGTGTCCCAGTCACTCGCTTTTTGTTTCAAATCCATTGTAATTTTTTCTTTGTTTTCCCATTCGGGACAAACACGGTCCAGACGCATCAAAATGGATTCGAGAACGAATTCACTGCACTCTTTACTAGGATATGCTTTAACTATTGCAACCATAAGGGCTCGTACTTCGCGAAGAATCTCAGGTTCAATCACAGGGGATAAATATAGGCCGTTACAGATGTAGTGTCTCAGCGCTTCAACTACGGCTTTTTCCCCCTCTAAATCATTTGAACCAGCACGTGGGCCCGCCGCTGTACCGAAGAACATTTCGCCAGATGGAATTTCCTGTTCTGTCGGGAAGTACATCTTGAGCCAAGTATACCCCAACGAAATCTCTTCACCGCCATCTAGCATGGCTGGCGCCGCAAAAGTGTTATGATAAGCAAAGCGAAATGGCCGACATAAAATGGAATCACTCGGCTTTTCAGATCCGTGCAGACGTTCAGCATCTGTGAAACATAAGGCTTCACGAATCATTGTGACAAGAATGTATTGTTGATGTGTCTGCGCCATTTCAAGGGCATCGAGCCATACAGGGATCAAATGCTGAAGATCTCTCCCCCTATACTTCATCGATGATACAAAGTCTAAACCAAAGTGCAAATAAGACATAGCTGGGGGGGTCCGCAGGATGTATTCCCACGTTTTACTGTTTAGCAATGTTTCCTGTATAATGGTTACGTTCTTTTCATTCAAAAGGGGGAGAAAATAGCAACCGATAATAAGCGCCACACTGCTATACATAGGGTCTTTGATCTTGCTAGTGATATCTTGAAGTGTACGAAAGAACTGATCGACATGCACTTCCTCTAGTTTCTTCCGATTTTTCTGATCGTCCATTACTGCTGTAGCTCGCCGAACTGCTAGATACCACCATATAAGTGGAACAATTACCTCTGCCAGAATGCGATTTCTATCACGCTGCACCACAGAGGGATGCTCGAAGGGGGTGCCACTTCTCCTGGTGGTGTGAGTACTACTCGTTGTTAGCTCCTGTACCACCTTAAAAATTGCCTCTGCCGTCCTGGAAAATCGAACCCATATCTGCAAAAGTAGAGGGATAATTTGTTGCCCCATTCTAGATAGTTCAAATCGGGAATCACACGAGGCATCCAAAAGTGATTCAATACAACTATAGAGAAAACAAGTTGTGCTCTCACCGATTGCGACAGAAATTAGTCTTTCCAAGTTAAAGTTGCACCCCTTTCCCTGTGTGAGGTAATATATAATGTGCCGTTGCAATGCCATAAGCACCGTTTCGCCCTCCCGCCAGTGATTCTGAACATGCGATGAAGACCACCAACAGCCCATCGACAGCTCCTTCAGCAGCCGGATACAGAGTACTTCAGAGGGTGGACAAAGAGTTTCCGCCACGTACTGACGCACACTTGACGCGGGGTACGATGCGTAACCCATCAAGAGCTGGTACATGTTCTCTTTGCGACCAGACCCAGGATTCTGCTCGAATAATTTTATCAGAGCAATGAGGTAGCCTTCTATAACATGAGTTTGTGCTTCTCTGTCCTTCGGGAGGGTTGATAGTTTTTTTTGCATAGTAAGAAGGTCCTGTAGTTTGTGTACAACCCGATCAAAGACATAGGATCGTGCAGCGCCCTCTCGCTGGGTTATGATACATAGGAGAGACGCAGCTTCCTCCCGTACAGGCAACTGGTCCTCATGCAATGAGGGGATCCCTACGCGAAATAGCACCTCGCGCAGCCAGAGATGTCCCACCAAGTTCTTTTGGTAAAGTGTATAATTAAAGTCACAATAAATTTTAAACACACGCAAGAGCCCCTCCCGTTGGTACCAGCCAGCGCTTCCACTTCGGGTTCTTACCCATCTATGAAGTAACTGGTTTGCTAGCTGGCGACGCCAATCATCGCACAGCACTACAGTATCTCTTCCTTTAGCAGGGCGCTCTCTTTTTGTGGAGTCGGTGTTTTTTACAGGAAGTGCGCCTTTCTTTGGCTGATTTTCATATGCGTCGTGGTTCGCCAATGCAGAGAGGTTTGATTGGTAGGCAGGATTCTGGTGACGCCTCAGGGACACGTCACCAGGTGTGGGGGCACGGATAAGTTTCTGAATACACTCCACGCATTCACGGCGCGTGGAAGACATGCAGTCCTCCACACCGTTGAGAAGGACATCAATCCACAATGGGGAAATAGCGGATGGACCACGGGTAGAGGCTTCTGACAAGGCTGCGTTGCATACTGTACGGTACAAGTTAAGGCGAATATTAGGATCCTGCTCCATTTCCTTAAGATAGAATGCATCGTGATCTAGTGATGTAATAGAAACTTTTTGATTTGCCGATTCACTTTTGTTGATCATCCTAAGGTATTTTTCACTTTTTAGCCTCTGTATCCCCCCTTTCTAGAATTGTTGTTTTGCGTCTCGATAATGAAATTTTCAAGAAGTGACGCTTTGGAGTTTATTTTCTCCTTTACCGTTCAAAACGAAAAGAAGTTCAAATGATATTTTGTATTTTGAGCAATTGATGATGATGACAATGGTGAAAAGGTAAAATTAAACGTACTATCATTCATATTTTATCTATTCATTTCTAATCAGGCTATCTGCTGAGGCGAGAATGAAATAAACAACAACAACAACAAGAAACAAAGTAGGATTATTGAAATTATCCATACTTTTTTGCTTTGTAAACAATTGTTTTAAAGAGCAATTGCACAATGATATATTATCATCAATAATCACTATGGGATTACAATATCATCACTTCCTTGAGTATGAATGTGTTCGAGAAATTTGAATATATAATTTAGTTTCCATTTATGTGGTTATCATGATATTTTTTTTATTTGTCTAAATAGGTGTATTTTTGGTAAATCATAGATCATAAGTAATGATGTTGTAGTATACATAAACGCAAAAGTATGTAAACACACCATAATGTAAAGAAAATGACATCTTTCCTCTCAACTCTCCTCCTATACACGCAAATTTTTTTAAAAAAAGCCTTAAAAGCACAAAATTAATACATAAATGAACAAAAAATGTTCAACACTAAATTACAACTATAAACTTAGACATACCATACCGTAAAAAGCACGTCTAATTCAGCAAACAAAGATTAAAAAAAAAAATAAGAAATCAGAGGTGTAGAACTAGTTCAAATTCAGAGCCAGAGAGGACGTCTAAATAGAAAACAATGAAAATAAATAAGTAATCCTGCAACAGTCACTATAATTTACAAGATCAGTGAAGATATCCAGGAAAATAAATTCAGCGTACAATTACTAGATGTTGATACCCAAACGATTAAAAATTTTATAGAACATAAAGCAGATGCCACAGTAAGTAAATACATTAGTGCTATTTTCCCTTTTCCATCATCCTTTGTGGGTCAAATTTACCCCTTGTTGTTGCTATACAAAAATAAGGTGGAATCTTTTATATTTTACGTGTACCTCAGCATTAACCTCACGTATTTATAGCTTTTAATAATCATAGACTGGTCTTTGACCAAAGTGATCCCGCGGGAGCATGATGTAATTTTCAGGATCCATCGGAATGCACTGCGAGGGACACCCATTCGTTCCTGGTATAACCACCGTTCGGATGAGTTTAGGAGCAGGCTTGCTGTGCGAGCCCAACCTCACGTCCTGAAGAACTGCGTGTCCTTGATGAGCTTGCCGCATGGATTCACGTAGATTTCCCAAATACTCGCGCAGGGAACGCTTCTCTGGACCTTTTTCTGATAAACCAGAGTATGGAGTGTAGGTTTCGTATAACACACTTCGAAGCTCATTAATGGAGGCGACATCTGGGTCAAACGGTACGTCACGGCGTGGATCATTGTTTGTATAGGCCGAATACGCGTATGTATTTCCGATGCCAGGCAAGTTAACCTGATGTGGAAGCGTACGGAAACTGTTTCGAGAAACGTATGGCATGTAGTCCGAACGATACATCGTGGGTTTGAGTTTGCAGATTCTCTCCGGGATCGTCAGGTATGGAATTTGTATCGACTGGTTCACATCCGATGCTTCTTCTGGAGTCCATTTTTTGTGGTAATTTTCTAGCCACTTCCTCGAACTATTCTTTTGAAAACCGATACCATCAATCTCACCAAAGTAATCATGGCGATAGGTTGATCGGCCATCATACGAAGGAACCCGCAAACCCATTTTGGAGTTTATGGGTGTCAGGGATGAGGCAGGATCGTGGGAACCATCCGTTTCAGGTTTGGTTTGACACATTTTAATCTTTATCGACTCCTGACGCATCTCAAAAGCTAGCTTTCTTATGTCATCCGTTATTTGGTTGGTCGTGCGCAGAATCCTAGGCGGAAAGGCAAGGTCGTTTTGGCTAGATGGGCCTGTTGGTTTGCTTCCTTTGCCAACCGCACCTACAATGGAAGGGGACTGCGCATGCTGGGGCATAGCCTCATAGTTTATACAGCTCGGATATGCCGTAATGTGTCGTTCCATCAGGCGTAGCGTCCAACAATCCTGAGCGAGGGGTGTCGTAGCATCTTGTTCAGGTTCTGCCCGATCAAGGCCCTTTGATGGCGTCCTATCCTCGCATGTGGGTGGCATTAAAGGCAGGAAACAAGTAAGTGGATAAATTGATATGTGACTAAAAGCCTGTATTCGAATTACCGATACATGTCACAGTTTGGAAAAGAGGTCAAGGGATTATCCACAAGGGAAAAAAATTATGTGAAGAGGAGAAACGAACACTATCACACAATCATAATCCTTCATCATTAAAATAGAATGAACGAGGGGTGATATATTATTATTATTATTAATATAGGTTAGTGAAGGAAGCCTTTCCCCCTTCCCCCCTCCCCCCACACACACATACACAAATTTAAAAAAGGCGAAAAAAATATCGAAATACATAATCTACTTCTGGAATAGATTACCATAAAATATACGGGCCTAATACAACATCTACATATGCATCTGTACTACTGAGTTACATTTTTAGAATAACCTTGATGCGGTTAATAGTGCCACAACAAAATAAGTATAGATTTTTGGTCATACGAACTTGTACTGTACATTCATAGCCTAAGCAGATGCTCCTGCACTGAGAAATAACAGCATCACGCCGTGTGGTGAAGCTGTCAATACCTGATCACAACTTTTTTTTTAATCATTTCTGTCATTATTTTCTTCACTATTTCAAGAATCAAATATATCATCCGGGTTGTTTAATCTCTAGTAAATCTGCGCAAGTGTTTTCATACCATGGCCCTTGATAACAGATAACAAATTTTCTTCGCTTGTGTTTTTGTTCTTTCTTTATTAAGTCACAATACGTAACAAGCCAGTAGTACTGAGTTTAGGACTAACCATGCTGTTTCTATATATATTGGAAAGAGGAATGCATGAACTAATGAAATAATGAATTCCTTCATTTGTCAATGAGACATCTTCGTTTATATAGAATTTTGTCGAATAAAATTTTCTCCCATCATTATTTTTCTGAATGTGTGGGTACAGTTCCCATGTAGCTGATAGCACATATATATATATATATATATATATATATATGTATATACGAAAAGGAAAAACACTAGTTTTACACTACAAACTCCAGAAACATAAGGGGATCACCTCGAAAGAGTTTCTGACACCCTTGAATAATAATAAAAACCTTGTAGCTAAAAAGAGACAAGAATAGAATGAGATGAAAATCCCCTTATTCGATTATAGTCGACATTATGAACCTTTTAAACATGAATATTACTTACAAGAGGGTATTTATTCACCATTCTTCACTTATTATAACATCAAAATTGATACAAGGTATGTTTCTATCTACATTTATTATGTTTTATTGAAACAAAATGATAAATTAAGGAAGATAATTTGGTGAGGAAAGTTTAGATGTAGTACAGCCAGTTCCGTGCACGCATGCTTGTGTTCTCTGTCCTTTCTTACATCCTCGCTTATAGGTTTTTTTATTATTCTAATGCTTTTCGATATGGCGTAATGCTTGCTTGTATTTCTCCGGGGCCTGAATATCTTCAAGCTCTTGCAATTTTCGCTCTCGAATCGCACTCAGAGCGGCCTGACGCTCACGAGTTTTGCGCATGAATTGGCGTCCCTCTTCTACCACCTCCTGCCGTTCTAGACGTCGGCGTTCCTCAACTTCCATCATCTGCTTAAGCAATGCGAGCGCATTTTCTTCGCGAAGCTTGCGCACCTGCGCTCTATGGGCCTTTTCCTGCTCAGTAGCTACCTTCTGTGTCGCTAGAATGCGTTCAAGCTCGGTTTTCTCGCGAAGCTTTTCCTCTTTCTTTATGTTCTTTTGCTCGGCGATTTGCTCCTGACGGACGCGCTGGAGGTCTTCGAAGACCGCCGCTCTGCGCTCGGCCGCTTCTCTTTCCTTATGCTGCTGTTCGCGCGCGTAGGCATCCTGGACGCGCTTGGCGCGAAGTTCATCCAACTGGGATTGCTTACCCTGTTGTTGTTCTTGAGTTTCCCGTAATTTAGCAACCTCCCGCTCTTTCTCGTTTGCGATCCTCTGTTGTTCCTTGGCCAACATCTGCTCTTGCTGATCCTTTTTTCGGATGTATTCATCCATCTGGCGTTCTTCTTCTGCTTGGAGCTCGCGATGTCTGCGTTTTAGCTCAACTTGTTCTGCGTTGGCGATCGTGGCTTCTTCCATCAACCGTTGCACCTCCTCTTGTCGACGAAGTCGCTGCGCCCTTTGCTCCTCTTGAAGTAGCTCCAGATGTTGAGCCATAGCCTCTTGTTCTTGCTGATGTCTTTGCAGCTTGCGTATGTGATCAAGCTCGCGCTCCTTAAGCTGCTCTTTAATGCCTTTAGAGTTGATGAGCTGCTGTTCGAGGTGACGACGCTCACGTTCTTCATACACCTTTTCCGCCTTTTTTGCCTCCTCCAGAAGCATTTCATCCATTTTCCTTTCGTACTCTTTTTCTTCCTCCTTCATTTTTTGGCGCTCCAGGCGTTGTGCTTCACGCAACTCAACACATTTAGCCTCTAGAATAATACGGTTCATTGCTCTAGTCTCATCATACTCCTCATCCAACTTGGTGCGTGCTCGATCGAGATGCAACTGACGCTCGCGTTCCTTTTCTGCCTCTTCGGCCGTTATGTTTTCCTCACCTTTGCAGCGACGTTCCTCGTCAAATTCCATCATCTTCCGCTTCCTTTCCTCTGCAGATATGTTTCGTCCATGCAGAGAAGCCGCCGCACGGGAGGAAGAGGAAAAAGATGTCTCGGGAAGGTTACTGGAAATCATATCTTGAATCAGTCCAAGCTCGGTTCTGGTCAAAATGGCTGAATCCCGGGGAGCGCCACGCTCGTTTAATTGTTTACGAAGCTCCCTATCCGTTTGCCCATGTTTGCGTGGTGGAAATATGCCATACGTCCTGGACCCAAGTAGAGACATCCTTGCCCAAGATGGAAACTGGTTTATTGGTCAAAGCCTTGGCGGGTAGAGTACCACGTTGAGTGGAAACAATAATATTAATAATAACCACCTAAAAAAAAGTGTTGGTTGGAAAGGAGGATGATAAAATAAGCGGGATGAATAAAAACAATCCGGGATCAAGGTTCTACCAAACCAACATCGGGTCCTTTTATTAATATCCATTTTGAATATTCCATTTACAAAAGCATACTACCACACCACACTCACAGAGAATAGATCTTTTCGGTACCGTTTTTCATCACTTTCCCCTGTTTTCTCGCTATATAACACTCATCCACGAGCCTGTTTAATACAAAGGGGAAAAAGGAGAAAAGGATAACCAAACCTGCTACTTGTTATCTAGTCAATACCCTTTTTTATTATTGATATTAAAGTCTTTTTATGGTGACTATTTCACAACGGCCTGAAATGCCTCTGCATGTTTTGTTGACGGTAGTCCGGGAATCGGGGGGAGCCGCGACTGAGCACTGGCGTGGTGTTTTGTGGATCATCCCGTCGGTAAGGCCTCGTCGGGTGATGAAAGAGCGAGTTTTTGAAGAGATCGACAAACGACTGCCGTGCGTACTCCTGCAGCTTGGGCGGAATGATCTGCTCCTGTTGCCGTAGAAATGCCACGAGCGGCTTCGCGAGGCGGATGTTCTCGGGCTGAAAAAACGTGTAGACGTAGCCCGGTAGGCCATGCCGTCCGCACCGCCCATTTCGATGCACCCAGGTCTCCATATCGCTCGGCATGTCGTACTGCACAACGTAGACCACTCCGCGAAAGTCCACCCCCCGACTGAGGAGGTCGGTGCAAATCAGGCAGGTGGAGACGCCTGAGGCGAACTGCCGCAGCACCCCTTCACGCACCCCGGCGGAGGCCCGCGAGGTCAACGTCGTCGGGTGAAGCCCCGGGACGGAACGCCGCAAATGGTCCTCCACCACCCCGACGTTTTGCCGGGAATTGCAGAAAATCAACACCCGCTGGTCCGAGCTCAGATGACCAGACTGGTAAAGCCACCCCACCTTCGCGAGCTTCTCCACCCGCCCGAGGAGGAAGACGAGGTGTTTGACAGGGGCAGGGGCGCCGAGGAGAAAACGAGGAGAGCCCCGGATCTCAGGTTGGATAGCCAACCCCCGAGGGTCTGAACGAGGCTCCGCGAGGATAAAACGATGGGAAGGCCACAACATGCGCTCGCGAAGCATTTGAAAGGCAACGGGGGGGAGAGTCGCCCCGAAAAGCAGCCGCTGGGGGCGATCCTGGCACTTGGGAAGTGCCCCAAGAATGATTTTCAGCGGTTCAAAGTGATTGAGGGAGACGATATCGCTAACTTCGTCCAGCACCAGCGTCTTCACACATCGTAGGGAGAGCTTTTGCTTGTACAGCGCGGGTAAGATCGTCTCGGGTGAACTAATCAGCACGTCGACCCCTTCCAAGGCGTGAAGATATTTTTTTTGTTCACCTTCGTTAGACGCACGAACCATGTAGCGTATGTTATAATTACAATGAAAGTTGCGAAATACCCCATAAACTTGAAAAGCAAGCTGTGAGGTGGGTACAAGAACCAGCACCTTAGGCTCCCCTACGCTTCTAATTTCCTCCAAACGAGACGGGCGCTGCGGTTTGACGTTGAGTGGCGTGTCGGCATTCCCTACCGGCGGGGGATGCGGCAACCCTGTCATCGGACAAAGCGAACTTTCCCGCACACTTAGCTCACAATACCGGCAAACCTCACCTTTGTCGATTTTTTCCTGTAGAAGGGCTTCGATATCGCGTCGATTAAGATCCGACGCGACACCTTCTTCATTGTGCAGACTAAACGACGGGCTTCGAGCGCGACGACCGGTCATATCGTCCATGAGCAGCCGTATCATTGTGGGAAAGACGTAGCTGAACGTTTTCCCCGTTGCCGTCGGTGCGATACAAAGCAGATCACGTAATTCCAATATAAGCGGAATAGCCGCCTGTTGAACAGGTGAAAGGGTGCGCCAGTCTTTCTGTTGGATCCAGTCTTTCAGCTGTTCACGTAGAATGCCGGTGCTCATTTCCAAGAGCTGCTCTAAGCTGAGTGGGGAACCTTTGGGGAGATCGGCTGGCATCCCGAAGCGATCGGTGATGCTTACACTATAAATAGAAAAATCAGGAACAGTTTTAGGCACTGGAAGGGCCGTAACTTTCGTCTTTTTTTCACTCGTATTGTGGAATCCTGATGGCGTATCTGGCTTTTGTTTGCGATGTGGATCACTGTTTTCACTTTGAAGTGGGGATAGAACCACATCTCGTACGAAGTTGTCGATGTCAAAGCGTTGAAAACCTTTTTTGCGATTATCCCCTGGGGTTGGGGTAAATCCTGTAGAAGGGTATTTTTCAGTAGATGGTTGAGATGTATTTAGCTTGGCATGCAATGCTTCAACATCATCCATACAGTTTGAATTGCTAATCGTCGATTCAACGCCTGTTTTAGATGTCGAAGAGATCGAGATATCAATATTTCCTGCCTTTGCGGTCTTACCGCTTTGAATATCATCAGGAGTGCTAATACTGAAGCTAGTAGAAATTTCTTCATTATCCTCGCTATTATTTTCCATCAAATCGATCAGAGTGAAAAATTCACCATTAGATTGATTTAAATCCTGTGGAGGCAGTAATGTGGTATGGGAAATCCCGGGGGAGAAGGTGCTGTGCACGCAACATGGGGTAAGGGTACTGGTTGCGGCTCCCATTCGCGCTCTGCAACCGACGCCTACTAAAGACCGAACCATTCTATACACTGGGGAGAAAGCCAGCGATGTATAGGTTGCACATCGCATTGGTTTTGGTAAGGGTACCTTTTATAACCTTTGTAAACATATATATTGGGAGTGTCAAAGCTATATTTGATATTATTGTTACCAAAACATTGTGAGATTAAGCATGAGGGTAATTGCCCAGCTCAGGTATTGCTATGTATATCCAGCACGTAAGAAATTTTTGAATATTTAACGTGCTATCCGTGTAGACAGACACTTGTCTATTTGAATCGGGTTGCTCATTTTTACTTATTAGTACTACAGAAGATTTCCCTATGATTCGCTTTATCCTTTTTAGAATATGGAATCGAAACCGATACTTCGCTTAAGAGTTTCGTAGTGTTCAATTTCTTTCGAAAGTGCAGGTGGGAAAACACTATTGGATTCATTTTGTGTAGTATACATGGAAGATGAGAAGGATGATAAATTTGTTTGCGACGATTCAATTAAAGCGTTCTTTTTGGGTGAGTTGAATTGTATCCGACCCGTGGAGGCCGGGGGCCACGTCGGGAGATGTCGTGAAGCTAACTTCGACGGCAAAGTGGGGATTCTCACCTTCGGAGAAGATTCTTCGTGCCGCTGTGATAATAAAAGTGCCCCTGACTTTTCATGCGCGTCAATAAGAGCTTGTAAATGGTCGCCAATATTATCATATAGTGTCAAGCACCAAGCTTGATGTTTGTACATCGCTAGTACGATGCGTCTTTCTTCATTGTCATCAACGGCATCGTAACCATAAAATGTATCTACTAGGCACCCATCCGAGTTCGAATTAGATGAATATTTTCTATCGAGTACGTCATTTATAATGTGCGATGCAACACGTACTGGCATCGGCCTGACGCCATATTTATTAGACATCGCAGGCTGTGTGAAATAGAAATAAAATACCAACAAAAATCCAAAGCGACGAGCGTGCGGATTCACAATCACCACTGGCAAATATAAATATGCTACACTCAACTGCAGCACTTCCTCCACAACCCACTCATGGTATGGACAGTCTAGGGTGCAGTTGCCGCTGTAAAATAAGTACTCCAGATAACTCTTTTCGAAGAGCGGAGCAAAGTTCTCGATGGTGGCGATGGTAAGATCTGGAAAAGCACTTATAAAATTGGTATATGCGTTGACGAGATCAGTTGCAAGCTTCTCACGACAAGCCCGTAGGCTATTTTGCTTCAACCGAAGACTCATTTTCTTATTTATTTGTATTTTACTCTGCTTTTATTTATAATCATCTGTTGTTTTCAATAATTATCTATTCCTTATCCCATAAAAAAAAAGTTACAATAAGTTGAAAAAGAGAAGCAAACAAGTAAAAATGGATTTCAAATGTGTACACGCAGGTCCATATATGGACACATAAGTCCCCCTTCCATTTTTCAAGTAAAAGGATCACATGGTAAATCAAAAATGATAGAACTAGATCAAAGTTTAGTGTTCTTGTTATAATTCTCTATTGCAAGTCACATTCCAAGCTTAAAGGAAGCACCATTACCAAGCTACACTCTGTGAGGAAAAGGAAAAGAATGATCCAGAAAAAAAACGTTACACCTTTGAAGGTTTTACATGAGATTTGTAGCTTGTTATTTACCTAATTCTTTCATCACTTCCCATTCGAGACCTCCTCCCCTTCCCTTCCCTCCCCACGGACACACACGTATTTAAGATCCTCAAAAAACTACGTCAGATATCGCTGCTCAAAATCCATCACCTCCTTTGTGCAAGCCCCGTAGAGCATCGCCCCGTTCGAGGAGTGCCCTCCGCAACGCCGCAGCCACGCGATCAGGAGCTGCATCGCCTGCACGACCTGATAAGCCTGCTGCGATCCCGCCGCGGGCATCTCCGCGGCGAATCGTCCGAGCCCACGTGTCCCGCTCCCTCCCCCGTCCGGGTTCCCCCCCCGGGCTCCCCTGCCACGCCGCCGCGCGGAGGACGGCCTCTGCGGCGCGGAAGACGATTGGGAGGAGGGCGGCGGCGGC